TGACATCGTCATCAGTCACATGTGACATTGTCATCAGTCATGTGACATCGTCATCAGTCATGTGACATCGTCATCAGTCATGTGACATCGTCATCAGTGACATTGTCATCAGTCATGTGACATCGTCTTTAGTCAGGTGATATGGTCACGTGACATGTTCTTTATTTCTTAGATATCTACAGTTTTTTACCTCGTCCATCATTTCACTTATCGTTTTCTGTCCATTAGCCATCGTATCCTGTGTTCTAGTGTAAGGTAAAGTTGATTTCTTACGAATCTTGTCAGCTCTCAATGACCTATTTGTATTAACCACGCTACTTAACGTCTGGAATCCATGGATTCCTTTAGCGACTGCATGGAATTCTGGTCCTCTTTTTGGTCTTTCTTCAGTTAGAGGCCTTGGCGCATGCGTCGCGTAATGCAAAATTTTTTTATCGAAAGTTTGCCTCAAAAAGCTCTCTGTAGGCTGTTGAATCTCGTTCAGTCGTTCTTTTGATATTTCCCCTTCATGTGCTTTCTTTTTCATGTCTAATTTGGCTTGTTCCTTGTCTTTTTTGATCGCTGCTAATACTACTTGCCTGAAGCTCATCAACCCTGGTGTATCAGGTAATCTACTGTCTCTTACGTGTAGGACTGGTAGATCTGTTCTCTCTGTTTCCCTCATGTCACTTATCTCTTGTAGTCTTTTCAGTGGTATAGCTCGCAATTTTGTCCATCCCTTGGATTGTGTATCAAGCAAACTTTGCGAATCTTTCTTATCTCGTGAATCAGTATTTCCTGATGGATGTTTTGCTGTGTTTCTTGGTATGTCCTTCTTATTCAACGAATGACAGTCTGTTTCTGAATTACCTTCTGATATCTGATTGGCTACTGGTGTTTGGTTCATCACGTGATCATTGACTGTCTCAGTTCTTAGTTCTTCGTTCTTGTTAATCTCTCTGCTCTGTTTGTCCTTAGGATTACACATCAACATATCATTGTCTATTCCACTTCCATCACATCGTGATTCAATCGTAGGAAACTCATAAGATTTTAACTCTACTCTGTCTTTCTTCTCAGTTTGATTAGAAACAGTTTTATCTCCTTCACAGCTTGACATGTATTTTTCGACATCACTTTCTTTTCTTAACGACATTCTAGGTGAAGGCGTGGACGTTTCACCTTTTGATGTAGAAAGTATCTTATCCGTGAAATTATCATCAATTCCACTCCAGGCGTTTCTATAGCAACGCTCTAAATATTGATTGCTTGGATTAGCGCTCTTTGTTTTCATTTGCACCTGTTTCCTCGCGGGATTCTCAGAATAACTGCCTTGATTTTCTGTTTCCCCGGTAAACGTTTTACTGCGCTGTTTAGTGAGCATAGTATTTCTCGTACCAATAGGAGACAGTGATTTTGTAGGTCTTAAACGTTGTTTGATTATGACCGAAGGTTCAAGAATGGTTCTTGATATATCATTCACTGACTTGATGGGATAATTATCTCCCAGTTCGGTTTGTCTCGATAAATTAGCATTTTGTTTTGACACAGCTAGTAATGTGTTTTTGTTTTTGAACAAATTTAAAATGCTTTTTTCCTTATCGCTTTGTCCTGTCGTTTGAACCTCATATTCGTGTAAGGAATTCACTGTCCGTTTGTCTTTCGTTTGTTGACTTTTCTCAGTTAGATTCATCTTATGTTTGTCATGTTTTTGATCTTTTAAAGCATCTTTATTGACTTTAGATGAAGGAAGAGAACGCTCTTGGTTTGCGATAATCGCGTTTTTAGTCTGTTCTATTAAGCTCTTTTGGATTTCGCTTTCCTGGCTCTTTTCAATCCGTGCTTGGCGTTTCAAAACCCTTTTTCGTTTATCATTAGTTGTTTTACTCTCTATACTAGTAACAAAGCTTGCACTTCTAGGTTTAGTCGGTAAGAAAGAGGAAGCAGACAGCTTACCATTTGTTTGAGTTTTCACAGGGTTTGACAGGAACAGTTCGCTTCTTCTGTCATATTTGCTGTATACCATCAGAGCTGAATCAGTCACTGAGTACTGTCCGTCATCACATTCTACTGCAATGCTACCTTCATGCTCTGTTCCATATAAACTACATGCTCTTCTCCTACGGAATATCTCGTGTTTATCTGTGCAGGTTGTTGTATTGAGGGATTGTTCACTTTCCAAAGACAGCGAGCGAGTCAAATCTTTTTGATTTTGTAGGATTTCCCGTAGTGTTTTGCTGTGTTGTTCTTGGTACTTGTCCAAGCGTTTCTTGAGGCTAGTCCTTTGAAAACGAAAACTGCTGACAGCCGTTTTCATGTTTGGATTATAAGTTGTATCGTTATTCATTCTGTTTTACCTTGTTTGTCGTATCGTCCCTCTCTACTCGATTCAGCCCGAACACCACTGCATATTCTGACAGTCGCTCCCCGTTGATCAGATGTTCACGTAGAATGGAACGTAAAATGACTTAGAGACAATAATATACTGCATTTTGATCCATGCGATGTTTGTTCAGTTTATGTGACACGTTTCCGGGCTTTCTTTCTTTCGTATGATAGATAAACCTCACTTGATTGGTCAGTTATCATCCAACATTGTCCTCTAGCAGTTATATAACGATGTTTCAAAATCGATTCTGAACAAGGTTTGGTTTCATAAAATGCTTTCTTTCACGTGTCAAAAGCAATCATCGTCCAATTTAAATTTCGAAATAGCCACATAATTCGCACATTAGCGTGAACCACTAAGCCGATGAACTATCGTAAGTGATTAGATTCGTTCCTTAGGCACCAAATAAACACTGGCAAACAAGGGTTTTTGATGTTACAATAAGAGTGTGTCATTGAGAGGCCCCGAGGGGGGGGGGGGTGTACTCCCATATATGGACCAAGCCACAAGAAAATTTATTATATATGGCTCTAGTTAGTAATGTCCTTTCAAATGAGTTAGAAATTGTAAACCAATGCAATAGAGACCGTCCAAGTGTGTCTCACTGCTACCCTACTGTTTTAACCCATCGTCAGTTTTCTGTAGTTCGTGGTGCGTGGTCATCACATACCACAACATTTTTGGTATTTCCACACTACCAAGATAATTATCTTCTGTTTACTTTTGCGAGTGGCTCGTATACCAGCGTTTTCTTTCGTTCAGACATTAACTGAGTAAACTTAATTGAGTGAAATTGTAACTTATGCTTTTCTGTTCCGTAGCCTTCTGCGTGTGTAAGTGGGGTTCTTCTACAAGCAGCCTTGCTAACCAGGTGTTGTGATCATCAAAGAAGGAGGTGTGCAACATGGTAGATGTGAGTAGCATCCTAGATATTTTCTCACCTACCCAACCCCGCCAATACGTCAGTACCAACCCATTTACGTGCCACCTTATTAAAAGTGGTGTTTGAGTGATGTATTGTGATGTTAATACAAACCAATCGAACCAGACAAGGCAACGATCACGTACGTCATTGTAGGCCCCAACAAAGTCAAAAACAAAATACGTTCATGGCTGTTGTCCAGAAACTCAATAACTTGAATTAGCGAGAGGACCAGGATACATGAGGATAAAGGTTTGCAACGACGTACGATATTAGCCTTACCAATAATAAATGCTCTTGAAACTATTTCTCAAATGATATATTTAGTTTCGTACCCGAGCGAACATGCTTCATGTAAATCAAAAATAATCTGTCATTTTCTGGTGAGTTTAGGTTTCAAATAAATCGCATGAGCATTCACAACCTTGTTTTCCTGAGGATGGAAATGAAAGAGAAATGAAAACACTCATTTTATGMTGTGAAATGAGATCTAAAACGTCGAAAAATATGTTCCTTTATTTCAAAAACTACTAAGAGCCTTCTTGACGCGCATGCGCACTCAGGATCTCTCTTGTCTTGTCCAAACCCGTGGTTTTAGATATTTATATTTTTATGAATTATCAATTTAGGACCATACTTCCAGACATCGAATGCTGAACCGTCGTATGGCAGCGCGAAGCATTTACGGCTACGCCGGAGATTTCGACCCCGACACCGCTATCCGTGGATTTACAGACTGATCAGGAAGCTCGGCCGAAGCCTAAGGGAGAGGTTAATYGGCCCCTAGACCGTAGATTAATTAACCCCTTGCTATGACCAGCAGACCCAAAAATCTAACTCATACCGATGGTGTCTAACAGTCTATACCTTACTCTTTTCCATGTGGGACGCGTTTTGAAAAACTAGCCGCCGCGACCGTTATTTAGGCACATACTCAGTTGGGGTAACAATTAATCATAACCTATTATTTTACAGGTAATAGAGGTTTTGCACCATCGCGCGACGGCAGCCGTGTTGATGTCAGGAACAATACAATCGTTTTACATAAGAAAGAATTAAATTCCCAAGAACAAAGGGATCTTTAAGAAACCTTTACCAGGTTCCAGGTTCAATAAAACAGGCACAAACAGGTCAGCGGCAGATCAAATTCAAAGGTTAGCGACAAAATGGTTAGATTATTTTTCCCTATAGTCTTTGCAATACAAATATATTGACTCTTCGCTGTTGCCTTACCCCCTGGGGAACGGGGGAAGGGGGGGGGGGGGGAGTGAGAATTGGGGACCCAAACCTTTCTTTTCTTCCACCAATTGCTTACTATCAATCACGTGACATTTTGGAGTTGACTGGGGGGCAAACAAGCGGTTGACTGGGGGGCAAATAGCGGATATTAAGCCAAAACATATCAAAATAAGTTCTCAAACTATTGTATTTGACTATTTTCACTACATCAAACCAGAAAACAAGAGATCAAAACAACCTCCGGGATTCTACAGCCATCAAAAAAGAGCTATTACCGGAAGTGACGTCTATTGATAGCAACCTATAGCCAAGTGAATGTGTGTTACCGCTGTGCTAGATAACATAATAGCGAAGAATTAAGGACAATCTGTGGTAACTATAGTAACCCTGATCGACTTTCTTGAGATGCTGAGCTACATGACGCAGACAAAAAACGATTAGCATTTCATTGTTGTAGATAGATATTTCACTGCGATATATCATGTATTTTGATTCTAATATAGATAGATCGACTTGAGGATCAAATGTCTACGTGCCATTTTTGTCCTGTTCGCAGCGAAGAGAGATTTGTCCGTGCGAAAAAAAGCGAGCGTGGAAGTAGATAGATAGATAGATAAACTTTATTTACCCTCGGTTTTAAAATGAGACTTGCTAGGCCTCTAGCATAGCTGCTAATGGTCCTAGAAGTGCTGGCGATTGGTCATCTGTATCACGCTGGATGTCTATTAGATAGACAAATACTTTATATTTTTATATTTTTATTATATTTTATAATTTTTAATAATTGTTTATAAAAAGCTTTTTTTAAAGCTATCTTGATCATGAAGTTTATTTTCGTAATTGTTCATGTACCTTGTATATTTGATAAAGAAGTCGAAACTTTATCCTTGTTTTAAAATTTTATTAGTTTATATTATTAGCTAAAGATTTGATCATATCTTTTGTCGCGGTCTCTTGCAAAGGCTTTACCATTTATTTACTTATCACAATATATTTAAACAGGAAGCCCATGTCTCCAAAGGAGTTGTTCAATGGGGCCCATATTCTTCACGGTATGTGGTATACCTAGCTCTAGATTACATGCAATATTCACACATATTGGCCGGTAATCATTCATCCCGCCACTTCTTACTCAAAGGCACGTACTTGTCACTGACAGGTGTTGTAATCAAGAGTTTCTTCAAGATATAGTCTTCTGAAATATCATGATGTAATGAAGGACTGTCTGTTTCTTAGCGACCATTACGTGCCAAACATTGACTCAAGATCGAGAACTGGGGAGATTTCCATTTTTATCGAAAAGACAGAGTTATTTATAGTTATTTACCAGGGAACTACGAAATTAACGGCAGATACCCAACGGCGCTTAGTTGCTTTAAATGATTAAGAGCCGGCCGTAATTTAAGGGTTTCTATCACGATTGATAATAAACAACTGCATCGGAAGCTGTGAAATATATTGTTAACAACAAACTTTCAAACTATTTTATCTTTAGATCTTAAAAACCTTCAGGCCTTAAAACATTYTCAAGTTGTTTCAAATTAGAGTCTTAAGGAAGCAAATGGACGCTTTATATCGTGAGAGTAGATTGATACCATCAAACTTACTCTTTAGTCTATTAGGAACAGCTCTTTTTGATTTCAACAATACTCCGGCAATCCACCAAGAGCACGAGAAGGTATTGGATTGAGAACCGCTCGTATATCGCCAACCATGCACTCCTTGAAAAAAAGTCAAGATGTTTACCATGCACATAGTATGATGGGTAACTCAGAATCACTACGATTTCCATACGAGAATTCGTATGACACTTACGTATTAGGTAACGACAAACCAGTTGTGCCACATCCACCATCAAAGGACAAAAAGAAGTCACTGCGAAGAACACAGAGTAATCCTGAAGGTGATTTAGCAGAACACGGCGAGAGATCACAAATGAATCATCTTCCAGCATTAAAGGATAAGAAAGCCACTTTGAGAAGGGGAAAAACAACAGGAGAACAAGCAACAATGGCAATGACAAGCATTAGACCTAATGAAATGAGCGCCTTGGCGGCAAAAATGCATAGAATACCTGAAAGGTTAGCTGAATCAACTGATAATGCTTGCAGGAATCCATTGGATACTAAAAATACTCACAAGAAATTAGAGCGCTCAAAGACAACACCGGTAAGTTTCTTAAAACCCGTACTAAAAACAAGCCCTATAGTTACGAGAAGACGTGTACAATTATCAACCATGAGTCCAAGAGGATACTCGATGGACGACCAACACAACGGCTCATGTAGAACACATAACACTACAATTGTCAGATCTAGAAACCTTTCTGAAAACGAAGGACGTATTTACGGAACTGCTGACATGGAATCACATGGATTATTCAAAGAATTAGAGAAGACCTACGGATCTCCTCCGATGACTCAAATGAATAGAGCTTTGCTGAACGGCAAGAGGTTTGGAGCAGGACAAATAGAGGACAAATGTAGAGAACAACAACAAACTACTACTTCTCCATCCGCCAAGATACGCTCTAATTACGAATTAAAAGAGAAAAGAGTGGAATCGCCAGGGAGGTTTACAAGGACAGGGCAGTTGACTGCAGGCTTACAGTTTATGGATGACAATGAGGAGCACGCTCCACTGAGTTACGATTCACAAGAGAAAAACCTTGAAGGTTCACCAGAATTGACGTATTTAAGGTTTACTAAAGAAAGACAAGAAGATAATCGAATATAAATATTCCTTGCTTGCATATCATGTGTGCTTTTACGAAGATCGCTTGTCAACTAGTCACTGAGACGGCGCTAGAAAGCCATTCGCACTCACTGCTTTGTTAATGAAAACTGGGGAAATTCGTGGAAAGTCTTTTTTCATTATCATTTTCAAAAAAAGCCAAGAAATCTTTATTGATTTGATGTAATTTGAACAGTTCTTTTCTTGCCGTAAGATGAACTATCACCAGAAGCCGCGGAAAAATCCTCGAATATAAATTTGATTTACGAGTCGGGGAATGTTCATTTAACGATCTTTACCACAGGATGTAAAAAGTATATTCAATTTTCACTTGACGTAAATTGGATTTTCCATTTGAAAATCTCGACAATTTTCTTGCTCATGCAATCAAGGCAACAAATATTTCTAGAGTTGACTAGTGCAACATTCAATTCGTCAAGGCAGTTATCGATGGAAAAAACTAGAAGAAAAAACACCTACTTTGATGTTCAATTTAGGATTTGCAATTATAATAAAGCGTTAGATGTCAGTATGATAAATATGTAAGGAAATKAATCGCGGTGTTTGAAAGAGCATTTGAACCCATTTAAATCATTCACTGTTTTAGTAAACTGTGCCAGAAAACAAAGAACAGTCTTTTCACATCGGCGGGTAATTGTCGCATGGTTCTTATCTTTCTGTTTTTTCCAAGAGTAATAAACCATAACCATCACAGGAAAAAGAGCTCTTAATAATGTCCACTTTACTTTGTTTAATTTTTGCATCCACAATAAAGTCTCATTTTCGTATTTCCGCTCAGCACTTTTCAGAGATTGACGTTTTTTAGAAAGGTAATAATAAAGTGATTGTTAAGGTGAAATCAATATATAATAACACTGAACAGCTCCAGCTTGCGCGTGTTGTACAAATTAGTTCGTCCATTGTTCAGTAATGAGGACATGGCATCCAATCTGCCTTTCAACAACGAGGTATTTTGCTCAAAATCATAATGTGCGCGATATTTTTTCCTATCAACACACTTTTAAGTCGAAGAAAAAACACCGCGGGGATAGAAAAAGAAGTAGTGGGAATAAAAAGTGGACCGAAAGGAGACGTAGGAATAGAAAAAAAAAAAGGGTGATATTTAGAAGTCTTGGCGGGGGTAAAAAAAGAAACAGGGAAAAAGATGAGAATATCAACACTATCACAATATGCCAAAAAATATATATATACTGATACTGGTCTGCTAATTGGTAAAAACTGCCCTCTTGCACACAGACAAGAAACGACAAGATGACAATCTTTACAATATATACATGCATATGCTGTGTGAATGTGACAAGCACGGTGTAATCATGATATCTCGAAAAAAACCTTTTATATTATCCTTAGTTCCGGTAATTTCTGACCTGATCCGGCAGATACAATGAAGGATTACTGTTGATTAACATCTCGTAATCATTCTATGGTTTGTTCGACGTTATTGTTATTAACTATGTTTCCGGGTAACTATAAAATTCATATGATGGTTTTATAAAACCTCTAATTTGATTTTCTTGCCAACTGAGTCTGCGTGTAAATTCAGGCCGCGGCTAGCTTCAAAACGCATCCCATATTGAATAAAGTGGCCATGTAAGCTACTCTATCAGCAGCAAGAGAGACAAACCGGGTCTGCTGGTCATAGCAAGGGGTTAATCATCTACGGTCTAGGGGCCGATTAACCTCTCCCTTAGGCTTCGGCCGAGCTTCCTGATCAGTCTGTAAATCCAGGGATAGCGGTGTCGGGGTCGAAATCTCCGGCGTAGCCGTAAATGCTTCGCGCTGCCATACGACGGTTCAGCATTCGGTGTCTGGAAGTATGGTCCTAAATTAATGAACAAAAAGTATATAACTCCAAAAAACAATTTCCCTCCGGAAGAGCTTTTGCGAATTTGAAGACTTATAATATAAATCAATTAATTAGATCGTTGAATATATCATGGCGTTACCATCGCCACTCAGAATAAGTTAATGATCGTTTCCTGATTGGACTGGTACGAGGCAAATCCATTCTGGGAGTTGTAGGGATTACTGTAGGCATTGTCAGGCTTCTTCTAGGTGTTGATACTTTGTCTTTTCTTGGTATAGTGTTGTCGTCAGGTCTGTGTTGATGTAGGGAGTTGGACGTATCCATCATAGCAGTAGGCTCAAAGCTTGTCGTAAGTACCGGCATGGTTGAACGGCGTCGCATACGCGGCGGACACCCTTTCTTATTATCTTTTGTACTATCATAGCTCAATGTCTTGGTTAAAATTTTCTTATCGTTTTTCGCGTTTTCTGGTAGAAATGGTTCTATATTTGTTAGAAAACCTGGATTTTCACAAATTTGTGGTCTATTCAACACTCGTTGTTCCTTGGTGCTATCAACAATAGGTTCTGTTTGCTTGTTGTTTTCTTTTGTATTTTGTATTTCTTTGTTGGGTGCATTCTTCTCTGTAGTACGGGATGTCTGCGGTGAAACGAGAGTCGCAGAATCAGCAGAAATAAGATTTGACTTCTGTTTGTGTGGCAGAAGTTTTCTCCTTGCTATCAAAGGAGAAGTACGTCCTTTACTAATGTTAGACAGTTTAGATGCTGTAGGAGCCATTTCTCGTTTGTCATTGTCTTTTGCTCTATTAATAACAAAAAAGTCTTTATAATCAATTAGTGTTTTTGGTGTGAACAGTCCGCGTTGTACTGTGGTATACGACTCAGGACTTTCCTCTAACGAAATCTCTTCTAGCTCCTGCAGTAGAAGGGTTGCATCCTTTGCCTTCCTCGGCCTCGATTCGTACGCTGGATCATAAAATATTTGACTTATCGGGGTTGATTGTTGATTAATGGGATCCCATGCTTGAACCAGCGATGCATTAATCTTATTAATGTTGCGTTGCTTTGACAACACTGACTCACCTAGCTGTTCTGCAAGCCATAGTTTTTCTTCTTCGTATGAAGAACTTAAAGTTAAATCTCGCTTGAATTCTTTAATTCTTTCAAGGTCTTCTTCTATTTTCCTGATGCTTCCCTGCTTTTCTTGCTCGAATTTTTGTAGTGTTTTAGTCAATTCTCTGCTTTCCCGAATATTCTTCTGAGTAACTCGACAACTAACAAAAGTCGGCTTCATGAACCTGTGAGATGTTTTCGTATTGATGTTGTGACGTCCTCTTGATGCCATATCAAATAAGCTGACTTGTCTACTTTCCTCCAAAAAGTATTCTTTGAAAAGATCCAATTTTTGTTTCTCAACATTTAAGTTTATGATTCTAGAATGTACGAGTTTTCTTGTACAAACACGTACAAATGTTCCATTGCAGAACCAAAATTATAACAATCTAACAAGAAAACTGAAAATGAACTGAAAATAGGCAAACGATACCTTTGTGTGGGTTTAAACATTCTTTCGATTATGTTTTTTCCATATACGTGTCTCAACCGACCAACAGCTCTCGACAAGCATGAACAAAGCTGTGCCTACCTTGGACAACTATAGCATTTAGATACGCATAAAGATATTTTTCTTCACTCTGCAGGTTTTTCTTTGTCAGTGTAAACCTTCATTAATAAGTAACATCTAAGACTGTTTGGCTGCCACTATTACGTATCTAGAGACAAACCAATCAATATTTTAATATGTTTCTTATAGATGTTTTTTGGTTGATTGCCATGTACTGGCATTAGTTTATTGAACTCAAACAAAGGACTAAAATATTTAATAAAATCGTTGAGTTATTGTTCTATTATATAATCTGCACTAAGCTCAGCCTTTCTTCTAATCCGCACTGCTTGAATTACAATGTTGGACAACAATAAAGCTAATTTATGGATTATAATAGTTATCGCTGTAAGTACTTGCCACCAATTGTGTGGTGCATGTGTTATTCCAGTTGTTTGTTAGTGTGATGTACTGTTATGTAATATTCTTAATTCTATAGTAGTTTGCAATATCAAACTTTATGAAATCTTTACTGAACTGAAATAACTGATATGTCGCAGTCGTGAATATTAACTACCAGGTTAATATTTCAGGTTTTGTTGTACGCCAGTTCAATACCCGGCTGATCAACACTTGAAGTCTTAATTAAAATGACTGAGTAAAGTCTGTGCTGACTTTTGACCTAAAAATACTTTCATCTTGTGCTAAACCAACCAGAGTCACTGTTATATCAATTCAATCAGGATGAGTTTTTACCATAGTGCTAATCCAATTACAGTCACTGTTACATCAATCCAATAAGGTTGATTGATAGTCATTGTTATCCAATTACAGTACGTGTAAGATCAATCCAATCAGAACGAGTGTTATATCAGTCCAGTCATATCAGACTGATTTCTATGCCAAACGATTCGTAAAATGTCATTGTAATAAGGATTTAATGGTGTTGTATTGTGTACTTTGCAAGTACTTTAACACCATCACTCTTTTCATCTCTGTACCAATATTAGTCTACTAGCTTGCTATTGCTAATTTACTGTGTAAACAATCAAGACGTGTGAGTGAAAGGTTTCTTTGTTTCTTTTCTGAATAAAAAGTAGAAAATGAGCAAGAATTGTACCTTGGACATCAAACAAGAGCTTAGACTCTATTACACCACTAGCTTATTCAAGACTAGAGCCGAAGAGGTTGTTTTGCTTGTAGTTGCTATTAATTACAGCTTATTGTAATATTGCTGCATTGTGTAAACCAACCAACACTCCTAGAGAATGGAAAATCAATTCTTGGACGTCATTCTCAGCTCTTACAATTGATAAATGACGTAACCATAGCAGGAGGCGTGGGCAGGAGTTGAGCTTTGAAGTAAAAATATCAACTGAAGTAAATAAAAGTTGTAGTTGAGGAAGTGTACAGTTTATATTACCAGAGCCAAGAAAATGGATGTAAAATCTCTTCGTGATCGAGAGTTCAATAAACGAGTAAGAGATGTCGTTTCGAGGGACCAAAACAGACTCCGAGAGACATTCGACAAGTATGACAAGGAATGTGCTGAACGTATGGCAGAGATACATCACATGCAGGAAAAAGTTCGCTTCTCAATGAGAAGTTTAGCCATGGATAAGATTCACATCAACCAAGCCAATAGTGTTGCAAGGAACCATCGTAGAAGCGATGAATCAAGAGTGCAGTCAGATGCTAAAGAAGATCACACTCGAGGAAGTCAGGTCACCAATAAACCAGACGATGATGGTCAAGAAAGTAAACAAACCAAGAGAGATGTAAATGAGGTTAGCAAGCGCCATCGTGCTTCTGTAACCTCTATGTTTTCAAAACCACGAACACTGGATATTCCTGGTCCTACGACTAACAGAAGAGCATCTTCGCCGTTTGCTTTACCACCCTCGTCCGCTCGAAGTCCTCAACAACCTCGTCATGAAACAACGAATAATGTTTATATTACTGGAAGTAGACCAACAATGTCATCTTCTTACCCTACAACAGATGGTTACATGATTCACACGTTGAATAAGACACCAAGATCTCAACCAAAATTAACAGACACCCACAACATGCTTTCTGTTAACGATATGCGAATGACCACAAAATCACCAGTAATTAATTTACGACGGAAATCAGCCGGCGAAGTTGGGGACAACCGACAGGTTTCCGAACGAAAAGGGGATAGAGATTGTTCTCCGAATCACCTCCGAACGGACACTCGTCAGAGAAGTACTAGCGTTTCTCACTTTCCAAAACCACATATAAGCAGTCCAAGAAACCAAAGAAAACTATCGACTGCTGGACAAAAAGGGGTTAGAGATTCCTCCCTGAATCGCCTCCGAACGGAAACTCGTCCTGTTCGTCAGAGAAGTACAAGTGTTTCTCACTTGCCCAACCCACATGTAAGCAGTCCAAGAAATCAAAGAAAACTATCGGCTACTGGACAAAAAGTTCAACTGTTTCGAACCAGAAGTAATTCTCTGCCAGATTTACTCTCACCTGATTCCATTCTGACGACTACACAACAAGGTGGATCAGCAGAAGACGGCGTTGCAAGCAAGAAGAGCAAAGATGTGCAAAAATCTGAACCCATTCAAGTCGGTTCAGCAAGTTGCCAGGCAAAGCCTGATAACAGCCCATTAGCTCGTAGCTTTGAAGAAATGAGACACTGCAGGTATTTGCGATGTAGTGATACAGATATATAATCATCTTCATTACCATTAATATAGTCAATATGGACAATAGTTTATAGTAGGTTCGAAGGAATAGTGACAACAACCTCTTGGTGCATTGTGCAACTAATTGTGCAGAGTTCCTGTCAATTTCTGTATGTATATTTAGAGAAAATAAAATATGAATACTTTCGATCCATTGTTACTAGCCTCTATAGCGGTTTATCCGTCGAAAAGATGTCAGAAGGGGACTGGGGAAAAGAAGGGGGCCGGAAGGGACTCGAAACTCGTCTCGACTTACCTCCTCTTCCCCAGTCTCCCATCCGATATACCTCCGTCTGATGCGCCGCCCACCCTAGCTAATTAATAGTTGGAACAATAGCTACCACGGCAAAGGTAATAGAGTGTTGCGGAATACATAGCTTTACATATCGTCTCAAGCAAACCCTTTATAGGAAATACAAGAAGATCCAAGAGAGCATAAATAAGAGAGGGAAACTTTATATTGTGTCGCGCGCCATGTAAATTCCCGATTGGGCTATTTTTAGTAACCGGATACAGTTTAAATTTCGTCTTACGCTACTCCCGTACATCAACTAGCGCGCATTGCACTCTTTCCGTTTGTTGTTTTGATATCGCTTGTAGTTGTTTTTTGCGATCAAAACAACTAAAGGAAAGAGTTCACGTGCGCGCTAGTTGACGCACGGAAGTAGCGTAATGCGAAATTTAAACTGCATCCGGTTACTAAAAATAGCCCAACCGGGAATTTACATGTCGCACGTCACGATAAACAGTTTCCCTCTTATTTATGCTGTCTTGCATTACCCAAACTATGTCTTAGTCTTACCTCTTTTTCACCGGGTAATATTATTAACAAGTTCGTTTGTTTGCTCAGATTAATGTCACTTTTCGCGCTATTTTAGGGAGGCAAAGCAGATGAGATTTATGATAATTAAGATCAATGGAACCTTAACCACACAAGGATTGATATTGTTAATATTATTAAAAGCCCAGTTGCCAATGTGTACATATTAACCCATGAATACGAGAGAGAATTGTTTATTCAGGTGAGAAGTTTGTACGTTAGTCATTCACAACCACATAAAAAAAATATTCACATTTGATTAATTTCAATTATTATTTTACTTGAATTAAATATTAATTTCATTAAATACGTAGATCATCCTTTTATTCAGTTGGCTACCAGTGCTAACCCTGTCCTGCCTGACCGTCTTCTTTTATCTCTGTAAAACAGTGTTTATTTTTTTGTTCATCCGCTGCAACTCGACTAAAGGCGTTTGCCGCCATAACCAAATTCGCTGCTCGCTTGAACTTGTTCCTGGCATGTTGCGGTTCTTCCATCTTGCATTATTTAACAGGTTCATTGGGTTGTTGTTCTCCCCCCTTGCATGATTTAACAGGTTCATTTTCTCTGGTTTTCTTGGCAGTCATCATAGAAGAGCTGTGCTTTCTTTTCGCTTGAAGCTCTTCCGTAGTTTTCTCGATTGCCTGCTGTCTGCGATAACTTTGAATTAGCTTCTGTGCTGCAAGTACCGCTTCACTGACGCAAAGAAATCTTGCTGTTACTGGCGAGGACAAAGGTCTTGAACTGATATTACTCATAGTATGAGTAGCTTGAACAGCTTGTCTAATCCCTCCCCTTGTTAAACCTCTATTCTTAATTTCTGTGTTTTTAAGGGTCACCAAGGCTTGATCTTCTATTGGGTGGCTATTTCTGCTGGAACATCTTCGTATCGCTTGTGATGTTTTAGGTCGTACATGGGTTTTTATAGTCAAAGGTTGGATTTCTTTCTTTGGTGTATGAATATTTTGGTAAATTTCTTTTGCCTCGCTACGAATTCTCTTCCTGTGTTGCAATGTTGCTTTGAAGTTTTCTCGGACTGAGCAATCAATTTCTAAATGTTCTATTTCATCTAATGATTCTTTCATGTTCTTGTCCTCATCCCTGTCATCCCTCACCCATCTACATGTTCTCCTGATTTTACCATTTGCAGAGGTTGAATGTACCTTCACTTTGTTTGCATTGAGATTAAACTGTTCTGGTCCTTCTCTATCAGGATTATTTCTTGATACTCCTTGCCCGGCTTCCGTCATTCTTACAGAAAGATTTGGCACCGAAAGAGATCGTACCCTTAATCTAGGATTCCTGGTTTTATGATTACAGTCCTGAGCAGGTCGCGATGTGGTACCATTCTTGTTCGTATTACATTGTGTACACAAGTTATTTCTATGACTAGTTCTTTGATCTAATCTAATTTTTCTCGGCCCAAAGTTTACTGGTTTTCCGACTGTTTTACCAGTATCACCATTGATGTTATATTTCTGATGAACACTCCTGTCTTTACTCAGTCTTAAGTCGTGCATTGCTTGTCTAACGGTATATCTCTCATTATAAAACTGTTTCATAACCATATCATGTTCTTTCTGGAATCTGTACATTTCTTTTTGCAGAATGTTGTCTTCACAGGCGTTGAGTCGTCTTGCTACTTCATTCCCTTTTGATAAACCAATTTTTGACGCTTGCATTTCGATGAACGGCCGTTATTTTGATAAAATAACAAGACCTGACAACGAGTCTTCCTCGAATGGACAGTTAGTATTCTTGTTTTCAAATAACTGTTCCCTCTTGAATCAAATTGACTTTCTGACAAATCATAGGCGGTCATCTACAGTTGGATATATGATACTTTCAAAGTTTACACAGTTCACAAAGGAAAAAGAGCGGTTTTGTCATGTCAACAATGATTGGAGTAATCTCCCAGGATCCTTAAGTCAATACAAGCTAATAAAAACCAATCCAAAATCTGTTGCTTGGAGACTAATCGTTTTTAGAACGTGACGGCTGGTGTACTCAAAAACCTATCTGTAAATAATAAACTAATAGAAAAAGAAACTACAGTATAAAATAAATCATGCATCCTTCGCAGCTTGGAATCTTTGATTTGTGTTGCGAGGAGGAAAAACTGTACTGGAAGATTTTAGTCTTTTGAATAAAATTTGTTTTGAAAAGCATTTWAAAAAATTGTATTAAGTGCCTTTCTATCGCTCTTTTAGGAAAAGAATTTTAAAAGAATTAAATTCGTCCCCAGACCCTGCTCTTCTACCTCACCCGTAAAGAAAATGAGGGCTCACGGGATCTAACCGCCAAAACAGGCAAAATGTTTTATGACCCTAACCCTAACCCTAAAAAACAAGAGTAAAACTGGATACAAGTACAAAATAGCGCCTGCGGCTACTGCTGTAAGAAATGATGGTCATACAGGAATGGAATGGAGGAAGTTGATAGACTATTAACATATACGAAGGATATATAGGTAATTGAATTAGCGGTGTTTGGAGGAAAAACGTAAATGTGAAAACTAAAGGCTTTATTTATAGAGCGAATATAATTTAGATATATCAATATGCATGATGGATCACGATTCAAGGGTGATCATAACAATACATTTGTTAGAATTTCGTGAACTCCACTCTGTTATTGGAGCGCACTTTCGTGCATTCCTGTTGGTGTGAGATAATCCATTTGTCATTATTAATTTTGTCGTGTGTGTTGTAAGATATTACTGGAAAAAGCAATAGTAGGGTGAAAAAGTTGAACAAGTTAATTTCAAAAACGACAAAGGTATAAAATACGACAGTGTAAAATACTATAATTTGGTATAAATGTTAAGGAGATACTGTCAATCTGGAAGTTTATTTTAAATTGGCTGAAGCAGAGAAACAGGATTATGCGGAGATGTAAAGTAATGAAAATTGTGTAGTTCCAGAAATTATCCTCCGAAGAGGCTGATATACTCCCTTTAAGGGATTTTCTTTTTGCAATACAGGCTCTTTTATCTGCAAAAGAAGTTCATTCTTTACTGTCAAATCAGAGAGCGCTGTTGTTGCTGTCTTGTCAGCGTATATTCAAGTAGCACATCGACTCTCGACCTAAAGTTGAATGATGCTTGCAAAACCTTTCATTTGAACGTAAAGAGATATGAAATGAAAGCTGTAATAAATAATATTGGTAAATTTTCTGAAACACAGCAAGAGTCCGGACGAGGAACACGACGCTGATCATCGCTGTCTCATCGCTGTTGAAGCGGTTACGCTTCGGTAATACGAACCTAAGGCGAGATTTTATTGGATTGCTGATTGGTTCCGAAAATTACGGCTTACTGCCGATTGGTTACGACATTTCTTTTGTTACTTATTGACTCTCTGAGGCAGTAGCCACAAAATTAGTTTCCGTCATGGCTTCCGGTCCTCCTACTCCTTTGGCATATTTTAGCATGAAAAGGGAAAGGAGAGGTCTGTCTAGCAAGAGAGCATATGTAACTTATTTATGCTCTCTTGTTAAACGGAGATATTCCCCTGGAATGTTCTGTTATTTTAAGCCCGTATTACATGCTTCAACATAGTCCCCACTTCCCGCGAGAGAACATGGACTGGTAACTAATACGCTAACACGTTTTATTTAAGTTGACACTCATACTAATCGCCTGGCATATCACGGTGTCATCACACAGGCACATTTACGACGATGGCTTCGTTTAAGCCTGGCTCAATGTGTAACAAGGATCCAGAGTCTAATAACAAGCGGTTTACTCATCAAAATGGCTTTGTTTTAGTCTCATTTGTCCTTCATTTGTTGGTTGGTTTGTCAGTTGTTGTCGTGTTCATCACTTTGAACCAACGACTCGCTGCTGTTGAGAGAGAACTCGATGACCACAAGACGCAGCTTAAAACTCTAAACCAACATGCAGTCAAGAACGTGGAGACTACTGTTAGAACTGACAGAGGTAATGTAATTGTTAGACATCAACCAATAGTTCTTTTATCAATACTTTTCATGGATTATCAATGGATTTTATTAGCAGTATTAATATGTTGAAGTTGTTAATTTATATATTAAAAAAAGATTCTCTCGAAGGTGGGTGGGAAATATGATAGGACAATGTTCGAGCCAAATATGCCTGACCCACTCGTTGACCCAGTTCCGTTTTTAATCACAAATTCTTTTTAAGGTTTCAACAGAGCAGAAAACATCAAGTCACGGCAGTCCCATCTGCGAGTAAGACGTTCTGTTATTGACAAGAATGTTTCTCGCGTTACCATGGAAACAGTTCGTTCAGAAATCCAACAGGTTTTCTTGAACATGACCGCTTCTCAGTTCTGTCATCCACCAAACAAAGTTTGTATTCCAGGAAAACAAGGATCGAAGGGTGTCCGGGGGAAGCGTGGTCCCAAAGGTGCTCAAGGTCCAATGGGACCCCCTGGCAAGTACGGTAGACAAGGTTTGAGAGGACCCCCTGGAATGAAGGGACAGAAAGGAAAATGTGGTCTTTCTGAGCAGGTTTCTGAACCTACCGTTTTTGTTTCCCCGTCAACCCTCACAGTCCATCAGAACCAGAATGTTACATTTTACTGCAATGCACACGGCAATCCAAAACCAAGTGTAACTTGGAAGAAAGTGTCTGGTCAACTTGATGCTAGTAAAACATACACGGATCAGTCAGGGTTATTACAGATATTCACAGTTGATAGTAATGATACCGATAGTTATGTCTGTACTGCGAAGAGTGTTCTAGGAGAAGCATCGAAAAATGTAAAGTTATTTGTTCAAGGTAACACAAGAAAATAACTTCAGATTCATTTGTAATTGCTTCCTTGTTAAACTATCTAATATCTAAATACCTCCCTACCTTTCTACCTCCCTACCTCCCTACCTCCCTACCTCCCTACCAACTTACATACCCGCCTACTTACCTACCCACCCATGCCTAACTGCGTACCTTCTTATTTACCTAACTACTTACCTACCTTACAAAGAAAAAACATATAAAATATCTCAATTGTACATTCTTAGGTTTCAAAGCCAAGTTCACCAATCTCGGCGCAACAGGTCGTCTTGGTCCAACATCTATTGGTAGTCATTACAATTGTCAAAGTCATTATGGACAGGTTACTTTATCATCTGGTATACAAATATGGAAAGTACCACTTACTGGTTCGTATAAAATAGAAGCTGTTGGTGCTAGCGGTGGCTATGACAATAAACAGAATTCCCGCCTTTACCGTGGACGGGGTGCTCGTATGATTGGTACATTTCAACTTCTAGAAGGAGAATTAATCAAAATACTCGTGGGACAAGAGGGTGGAATTAATACTGTATCCAGCTCTTCTGGTGGAGGAGGAGGTAGCTTTGTTGTTAGAAATGACAGCTCCCCCCTGATCATTGCTGGTGGAGGTGCTGGAATCAAATTTGCTACACGACGATACTCTAGTGCTGATGCTAATGTGACCACATCTGGTAATCATGGACATGGAGGAACTGAGTGGGCAGGAGGACGTGACGGCCAAGGCGCCAGAGTTGATATATCATCAGACAATTCAGGTACGGGAAAGATTACAAGAGAGTATCATTGTTAATTTGTGAAACCACCAAAAACCAAGGACTGCGAGCGATGGTTGAAGGGCTTCAAGGCTTTATCCCACACATTTCTAATATCCACTAAAACTTAAAATCTAAACCCCTGCTTTTAGACGTTTGCATAAACACTATGTTATTATTTTAATCTACGATCGGCGAATAAAATAGTGAGACCCCTATGTTTAATATATATCTAATCTCATGAAAATCAGTATTTGTAAAATGTTGCAGCAAAATTCATTACGATATTCTGAAAAAAGTTTATTTCGGTTGGAATTGGGTTTCCTGGGTTGTCCAGATCTCAACCTTTTCCCGTGTACCGTGGCTTCCACTATTTCCAACTATTAAGGGTCCTCCGCGGTCCTTGAGGAGGTGGTTTGTGATTTTGTAACTATCGGTTCAGTATTTCTCGAGGGTAGTGGTTCTATGGTGGTGGTTGTTAGTAACTATCTGTTGATTATTTCTAGGGGGGTGGTGGTGGTGGTGGTTTGTAACTATCAGTTGATTATTTCTAGTGGGTGGTGGTTTGTAACTATCAGTTGATTATTTCTAG